CTGGTGGGGTTTTTTTCCCCTTTGTTTACAAGAAGCGCACATAAGGGACAAGTAGACCACATTCCTAAAGAACAGAAAGCAGCTCTGTGCAGGCATCAGGCCGATTCACAGAATCTCCGTTGCCAAGGGAAAATAACGGGGCTGCTCCTGTTCAGTGATATAGGTCAGACAGTGAAGTGCGGTTTGTGGACGTCAGCAAACACAGCACGGCGGCTTCTGTGTGAAACAAGTAACAGGCAACAGAAGAGCTGGCTCCCTAGGATGCTTTACAAGACAAGGAGACATAATGGAAGGCTGGTGGGGCCAACAAGAGGAGCTGGAGAAAACAAAAGCCCCGCCCCAAAGTTTATCTCCAGGGAGCCAGTTGGTGGCCCACAATTCTGCTCCTTTCCTATTCAGTGGGAATTGTGTCCAGTGGGAGAAAGACACCACAGAAATCCGAATTATTATTATTCTGGCCTACAAGGTGATAAGTACCTATACATTTTGGCAATCTGAGCCTTAAGAAAAATAGAGCAGGAGGAACATTTGGGGAAATCGGACTCTAAGGTCATAACATGCTTTAAACCTTCAGATGGGGCCTTAGGAATAAAAATGATCCTTGGCGTTATTTTTGGTCAGAATAAATCTTGAGCTACTCTTTGTCCAACTTTGTACTTGGATGTAGGATGGTCTCGACTGGATTATGTAAAAGATCTCATTTGAGCTGTTATTAAAAATGCTGAAATCCAGAAAAAACTACTCCAAGGCTTAAAGAAGTAATTTTGTACTAAGTTTAAATCAAACTCCCCAACTCCTAAGCTACATGCTGCTGTGCATCGTTGTCCCACTCGAGACTGCTATATTTACAGCCTGAAATGATGGTGCTTTGGGTGGTTATTTTTCACGTAGGAAGTCACACTAACACCCCCTGAACCGCCTGCATATATCTTAAAGCTAACTTTTCCCTTCCCAGAAAACGATTCTGTATAGAACTTTTAAAAAGAGAGATCTCGAACGTCAAGGTGTTATAAAAAGATAAAACACGTGTTGCACGTGTTCACAGCCTGCTGCCCAGCGGAGCACTCGGGGCAGGTTTTCTTGAGCCAGTTCCATTAACAGAAAGCTGATAAATGCCTACCATTGGCAGACTGGAGATTTCTTTTAGGCTTATACTTTGAACCCACTCAAGCACAGAATGTCATTATACAGCTTTGTTATGATTATTTTCCCCTGGTTTTTCTTTCCCTTTTTAATTACTTATTGATTCTTTAATTGAATTTATTGAGGTGACACTGGTTAATAAAATTACATAGATTTCAGGTGTACATTTCTATAATACTTCCTCCATATATTGTAGTGTGTGTTCACCACCCCAGGTCAAGTCCCTTCCATCACCATTTACTGTGCGAAGCATGGATGGATCTGGAGACTATTATGCTAAGTGAAACAAGCCAGTCAGAGAAAGACAAGTACCACTGATATGTGGAATCTAATGAGCAAAATAAACTAACAAAATAGAAACAGAATCATAGATAGATACAGAGAACAGACTGACAGCTGTCAGGGGGATGGGAGACTGGGGTGTGCTGGGTGCAAAAAGTAAAGGGATTAAGCTTAAAAAAAAATAACCTCAGACACAGAAGAGAGCATGGAGATTACGAGAGAGACAGGGAGTGAGGGGAGGTAGAAGAGGGTGAGGGCGGTATAAATGGTGATGAAAGGAGGCTGGACTTGGGGTGGTGGACGCACAATATGATTTTTCAATTACACATTATTTATGAGTTAGGAAGCCCATAGCTTTGGCAATAACTATCTAATGCATGTGTAAAAATACATGGGCTTGAGTCAGACTTTTGCAAAGAGTGTTATCCCAGGGGCGTGTGTTATCTTCTCAGCTCCTTAACTTGGGGCCGGGGGGCCTCGGTTTCCTGAGCTATAAAATGAGGGGATGGGATTAAAGGATCACTTCCATCCTTTCTGGTTCCAATGGCCTACAGAAAATGGGGGTGCAGGATGTCCAAGACCTAACACCCACGATCTTGGGATTGCCAACAGGTTGAGCAAGCGCTTTAAAGTCACCTGACAGTTTTGGCATCAACTTCCTGATAACCTCCATCATTCTGGAAAAGAAAAACCTAACTGCAAACTCATTTTAAAATGCATGATCTTAATAAATGGGTTGCTAACGAAGTTCCTGGTCAACCAGGGGCCCCTTCCTTTTGCAAAAACATCTAATAACCTTCCATTACCATCACTTATTCTTTAACAGAAAAATTTACATGAAGCCTAGATCTGTAATGAACCAATAACATTAAAAAATAGTGCTGACACACCCCAATGATTTCACGCCAAACTCACAGAATTGGAGGGGTTTTGGGGTGGTTCTTTGTGCATGAAAGAATTCTTCCCAGGAGGATTCAGGGTAGGGCTGGTAAGAGCCCCCTTGACAGAGAGTCCTCCGGATGGCTGGTACTTAGCTTTCAGGGCAGCTACCCCTGTGAAGTCAAGCTCTTCAATATTGCATTTGCTTTATAGTCATAGACTTGATAGAGTTACTGAAATTGTTTCAGGGAGAAGGTATAAATTATCAGCAAATGAACAAATATATGTGCTAGGCTTTTAGTTTATGATTGATATCAAAACAGCAACTTGAGTAATTAGATTTCAAAAGTAATTCATGTGAAAGCAATAACAAGCAAAGTTGGGAATCTGCCACTTGATTATTTAATTTCTTTCTCCTGTCCCAAGTATAAATCAAAACATTCTCAAAATAGTAGGCATCGTGAAAACTGAATTTAAAAAGTTCCTGGAAAACCCAGATTCTAAATGGAAATAGGTTAGTTCTGTTGTTTGCTTGTTTGGTTTTAAGAACTCATTGTGAGGTGAGGATAACCTGAATTACAGCACTGTTAACAGAGTTGTTAGGTAATGTGTTTATGGAAGAAAATTAGTGCTTCTCGATCCATCTGCAAACTTACTAGCGTGTTTTACAGTGTGTCAGTTATTCAGTGCTGCCTCACTGCATCGCGGGTGCGGTGCACGTCGCCATGTGATTTTATATTTTGCACCTGTCTCTTCTGCCAGACTGAACTCTGCTTAGGCAGGGCCCCTGTCTTATTCATCTTCGGTTTACCAGAGGATAGCACTGCCTCATATATAGCAGGTGGGTGTTGAGTCAAATTCTCCCTACTGTTTTCTAAACCTCTACGTCCTCTCTACCACCTCAAGTCTTTTGGTCCTTGAGTACCGACTGCTCCCTGACACCTCCCTGCATCAGCCAGTCGGACATGGCGCTTCTCTTCCTCAAACCATAAACTCACAGAGTACACACCACCTCCTCTTGGAGGAGATCAGAATGTGATTCCCTCAGGGTCCCGACCACAGCAAATCCTTCTCTAAATCTACTGTGGCTTCTAGGACACTTCTTTGTATACAAGAGGAGATTAAAAAGTCACTGATTCAATAAAGTTAGGATTTTATGTAGTGGTTCTCATGGAGGGATCTACCATCTCTTTGGAAGCACTTTGAAAAACTGATGGGGCATTTAAAAAATTTATCTGAGTGCTGTGGGTGGGAGGGGAGGGGAGGCTCCTGGATGACTTGCAACCACAGGGATCCCACACAACAAAGAACTACCCAGTGTCCTGCCCTTTCTCATGTCCTTCCGGACACTTTACACACAAACCCAAGGTATTTTGGGGGTTTTCCTAAGGTTTTCTAGGATTTACTTGGATTTCCAGGATTAAGCTGCTGTGCAAATTAAGAAAAAATTGTACTTTACGGTGTTCAGAACTTTACCAAGAGTATTTCACCATTTAGAAAGTTACATGGCCAACCACACCAGCCGTCTCAGTATTTGAGTTTACAACCAGCACCGCTGGGTCACTCTACTTTCATAGCAGTTGCACTCACTTCCATGTCTACATACAAATATAGTTATTTAACCCTTAATCCACATGTCAAATAGAAAGAAACAGTTCCCACAATATCCAGCATGGCGTACTTCTTTTAAGTGCAAAGTGATTCATAATAAGTGGGTTGCATGTCTGGCCATTTCATTAAGCCTTCTAAATATTAGTTGTTTCAGATTTCTTGCATTTCTTACTTTATTGGAATTCTGTTGCTAGGTAGATTATATTATCTGTGAATTTTATTTTAGGATTTATTGTAAAAATGGAGCTTTGGGTCAGATAGTACTGAGGACCACTGATCTAGTACATTCTAGTACAGTTTCCTTATTTTACAGAAAGGAAATGAGACAGTAGAGATGGAATGATGCACCCAAAGTCATAGAGTTGATTAAGAATTAGCCTTTGTAGCCCTGGCTGGTGTGGCTCAGTGGACAGAGTGGAACCAAACCTGTGAACCAAAGGTTCGAGGGTTCAATTCCCAGTCAGGGCACAGGCCTGGGCTACAGGCTGGGTCCCCAGTGTGGGGTGCTCAAGAGGCAAGCACACATTGATGTTTCTCTCCTCTCCCTCACTTCCCCCTCTCTAAAAATAAATAAATAAAATCTTAAAAAAAAGAAAAGAATTGTTTCAAAAATTCAGCCTTTGTAGATTCATTAATATATGGCTATAGCCCAAAGAATTAACATTCCAGATTCTAACACCCTGGTAGATTATGTTCTGTCACATAATATAAAATACCACCTTTTAATAACATTTCCTTTTGTCACCAATTACCCCTCTCTTATCCTAGCAAAGGTGTCTAGAAAGGAAATTTCTTTAAACTTGGAATTTCTATTCTCCTAATGATTCTAATACAGACTAAAACCGTGTTTTTAAGAAAAAAAATCCTTTGACTTAGTGCAGGGCTAGACTGAGCATTCATTCTCAACCCTGTTGCCTCCCTCCCTTCCCCACCATCCTGCAGGAAGACTGTTCGAATCCCTGTGCGCTGAAGAACAGCCCTTCCCTTCCAACAGGGTCAACCTCAGCAGTGACTGAGTAGAGAGGTTCTCTTTGCATCCTTTTCTTCTGTGTCTTCCTAAGCAGCTACACTGAACAGTTACTGACCTGTGACCCCACGGAGAGCCTTTGAAGGTTCCTCGAGTGTTGAGATCGCTTTCTCACGAGGGATAAGGCCTGGTTTTTCGCTGGCAGAATCAGTGGACGAGCTGTCCTTCTCGAAGCCATTGACATGGCCATTCTGTATCTGTGGCGGCGGTGGCTGCAGGGGCCCTGCCTCGGGCCTCTCCACCTTGTCTTTAGCATCTTTGTTGCCTTGATGCTGCTTGGACTTGCTTCTTTTCCTTTTATTGTTCTAGCATGAGAGACAAATGAGAAGATAATATTACTCAGCTCAGACCCTTGAAATATAAGATGAACCTGAGAGACCAAAATAAGACGTTTTATATAAGATGTCATGTATATAAATGTATGAATATATAAATAATAGATGTTATATAAAAAATAGGGTGTGGCAAAAGTAAGTTTACAGTCGTGAGTATGCAAAACACAGATTTTATTCTTGTGTTATTATTTACTAAATATAAATAATTTCCTGGCTCTTCTAATAGAATGAATGAAACACCTACATCTTTTTCTTTTATCGTATTTTATTTGAGATACTATCAAATATCTTTCTTTTTTTAATTGCTCAGTTACAGTTGTCCCACCTTTTCTTCCATTGCTCTCCTACCCAGCATCCCCACTCCCACAGTCAATCCCTCCCCACCATTGTCCATGCCCAGGAGTCCTCCATTTGCGTTCCTTTGCCCCTTCCCCTTCTCCCCTGTTAGCCCCCTCCCCCAAACAAAGATTCACAAGGACATTATGGCACTGAACAACACGCTAGGTCAAAGGGGCGTAACTGATAGTACAGAACTCACATCTCTATTAACCACCCGATTTGATGTAAGTAAATATTCCCTTTCTTACAATAAGGTGTATAAACTTTTCCTTCAAAAACAGTAAACAAAAAGGTTCCTCCAAAAGGAAAAAATAGCAGGGAACAGCTGCAATCCTGACATATTACTTGAGTACATCGAGGCACCACACAAGTGGCAATACAGTGAAGTCCTGTGATCACGCCCTGCAAGAACTGGAATTCAGCTACTGTGGCCCTGGAGAACTGCTCTCGTTTGGTAAAGAGGAGATGAGGGTGGGGGAGGCAAGGAGGACCCCAAGGTTATGGTTCTCTGTGGAGAAGGGGAGATGGAGGGAAGGATTGGCAGGAAAAAGGCAGGCAACTCCTTGAGAAATGAGGATGTGAAAGGCAGATTCCCCATAGTCCACATTGGGTCTATGAAACAGGCACCAAACCACCAGAAGAGCCCAGGCACAGGACCCGCAATCCCCGCCATGAATATTTATGCTGGAGCAGATAACTGCTACAAAATCTGCCAAACTGACCTGGGCCCACTAGGTTTGGACTGTGCAGCAGGACCCAGGGACCTCTTGGCTGCCAGCTGAGCAGCATTACAAGACTTCACTGCCCTGCATTTCAGACAACTAAAATTTTTTAGACTTGAGTTATTACAATATGATAGAATTTTACTGTTTCTTTCCTGAAATGTCATAATGGTCAATACACGTAACAATTCAGAGGAAATTAAGGTGTTGTTCCAAATTATGATGCCTGCGTTATTGACTTTGATTTTGTACCCAGGAGATATCCTGTGTTCTTAACGTTCAGGACGGTACAGGCCTCAGCCAATCAGAACAGACGCTGGGCCACCAGGACGCACCCTGTCCGCGGGCTGCATCAGTGGGTTGGGGCTGAACGTCAGCCTGGCTTTGTTCTTCAACACATTTGGAAAAGAAATAAAAAGAAAAAGATTTCTCTTATGAATTCTCTCTCCTCCCTTCCTTTCCCTTGGAAGCCCTGACCATGCCCCTGAGTAAGTGCTCCTCCAGAGAAGCGAGAGAAGTACACTCACTCCCTGGGCGGTGGCGAGAAAGGCCAGCGGCCCCCTTGTTCCCACACAAGCCCTATGTCTGCTGGGCTGGGGAGACCACTTTCCCGCTGAACCCCTAAGAGGGAGACTCAGTAAAGAGTTGGGTCTGCAGCTGCTGTCTGCTCCTTTTCTCACATCAGAGAAATTTTTCCATGTGAGTGTAAATACTGCCTTTCAATCGTATGTGAATCATCTTCGTCTCACACAAAAGCCTGGGAAGCTATGATTAAAGATAAGCAGAGATTGTCAAAGATGGTGGCACACAAAGACTAGAAAAAAAATCTCATAATTCTTCCCATTCTGCATGCAACTAGAAAGAGAAAAAGGGGGAAAGAACAATTCCAGTGATCTCGGCATTTTATGAAAGTACAATAATAATAACAACGCTTGTGTGTTTTGTTTAAAACCTGTTTGGCAGGCCTGTGATCTTCCCTCGAGGAGAAGGATAGGCTGGAATCTCATATCCTCGGATACCCAGAGCGCAAGCCCTGCTGGCAAACAGTGGCAAGGGGCAGGGCGGTGACTTTGAAAAGGGCAGACTTTTTGTGAAAGGCATGCAGCAGGCTCCAGGCAGAGAACAAGGAGGGAGCTGCGCCTTACAGGGGCTACTGAGCACGTTCACAAGATCAGGAAGGCGTGTGCTGGACACAGAGGGCCAGTGTGTGCACACGTACACCTCACCTGTGTCCTAAAGTCACTCTGGGTGACTGGACAAGAAAGCAAAACAATTTGAAAGGGGCAGATGAACATCTTCCCTCTGTTTTCAAGGAGTCTGCCAGGGTTCTCAAGAAGGAAAAATAGATCCCTTACCATGATTTGAAAGTATTTTCTTTTTCTCTTCTTTTATTAAAAAAAATCTAGCTTAGAACTCAGCAAGACAAGTATCTCAGCACAGCTTTGGACAGATTCTTTCAGTTGGAAAAACGTGAAAATCTATTTAGAACTTTTCAAGTATCTTTAAAACACTCCCTAATTTTTCCCTTTGTGCTACAGGATATGTTCGGGCAAGTTAATGTCTTGAATCCTTTGAATTCTCAGGCGAGGTTCCCCTTAATACTTAAAAAGAAGAACTCGGGGACTTCTAATGCACACCTGGTGGTTAAAAACACTGGAGAGAAAAACAATGGCATTAGTAGGGAGGGTGGCTGGTAATTGGAGAGCCATGAATTTGGAAGCTTTCTGGGTGTATCTACTAACATATTTGAGAGAAGCATAAAAATGGCAGCTTTGTGAAAATGATAGCCACCATAAAAGTTTTGATTGAAGATGTTACTCATTTACAATCCATGTGAATCTTACCTTCTTTTTCCCCGTCATATTCCATTCTTTCAGAACTTGAATCGCACTGCCTGGACAGAGACAAAGGATCTTTAACGTGTGTTCACACAGTAAAACCCCACACAGAATTCATCTCAGCCTTTCCATCTTGGTAGCAATTTTTTTCTTGGCGTTTTCATTTGTTTTTATACATCCTACCTTAATAAAAATGCCAGTCTCGTGTTTTATTTCCAGATTTTCATTTAATTCACTGCATGATCTTGGTTTTATCAAAATATTAAGCCCTACTACATGAAGCTTACTTTTTTTATCATTATGTTGTCTTAGAGAAAATGAAATATATCTTGAGAATTTTCTGATAGCTTCATTGCCATAAATAGAATTAAAATTGTTCTGTTTGATATATGAGTCAAAATACCTATAATCTTCTCGACCAAACATGGGATTTTGAGTATGTTTTGCATATGAATCATAGCTTTTTATTGGCCATTCCTTCTCTTCTTTCTGCCTCCACTCATTATAAGGAGAACAGATGATCTGATATTAGTTCTGCCCTCATCACTATGGATGGGGAAGGGATGTGGTCTTTTCAAGGCATTTGCTTTGAAACAAAAGGAGTTCATCAAATGACAACTGAGTCCCAGGATCTGTCAATGCCACTCACCCCCAACCGTGGAACTACACTGACTCAGAGGAAAAGCCTAACCTGATAACCGTGCACAACCTTTTCAGAGAAGTGTGTTACCATTGGTCAGCTACAGTGAATGTTTCCGCCTCCTCTAACAAAGTTCTTTCACTCACTCCAGCTGTGCTGGGGGTAATTTCAACAATAACTTATTGGTAATGAATACATCAGGTGTTTTTTTCATATAAACAGGTACTTCTAAAGGAGTAGCTTTTAAATATATTCTTTTAAAATATATTTATATATATATATATATAACATAGAAGCATTCTTATACAATCTTATTATACTAACAGTGCTCTACTGTCAGTATACAACAGTGTGTTGGCCCAACAAAGATAAACTTCAGCCTGGTCTTTATAACAAATTTCAAATTAGTAGGGTCTCCATATTGAGCCTACTGTCTACTGTTGGATAAGCAGAGGCCATACTGCTTTGACCACAATTTAGACAGGCTAATTTTTCCTATCTACTCAAAGTTTCCAATTCAATGCTCCTCTTAGGCTTTTTGAGTTACATGTACTTGAAATAATAAGACTGTACTTAAAAGTAAGCTCTAATTCAGACTTTTTATTAACTGGGCTGATCTTTCTGTAATTTTCCCAGAGACTTAATGCTTTACAGTATTTTCCTGTGGAAGAACTTTAGGAAGTCACTCTCATTAGGTTTCTTGGTAAGTCATGCCGGCAGCTAATAATCACTAGGATAGTCCTTATAGCTAAACTTCAGTTTCCTAAAACTGAAAATTTAGGAAAATTTATCTAAAATAAATTTAGATAAATTTAGATAAATTAAATCTAAAATAAATTTAGATAAATTTAGAAAAAATTTTCATACATCTAAAATAAAATTTAGATGTATGAAAGTGTTAAAATACTGTCCTTTTTAATCAGAGGAAGGAGACTGAGTTGCTTCCTGCTTTCAATTGCAATATTCAATTATTCTTCTGGTTTTCATATTTTGACATAAATTCTATTGTAATTTTTAAAATTGAGCTTTTAGAGGGTCATTTTGAAGAAAGAATACCCATGTTTACAGAGAATTTTGAAACTGTTATTGTTAAATTTTAATTATACTGAAACTGCTTGGAGCTTTTTAGGCCACTCAGAAATTATGCTTTCACCCTGGCTGGCGTAGCTCAGTGGATTGAGCGTGGGCTGCAAACCAAAGTGTCGCAGGTTCGATTCCCAGTCAGGGTACATGCCTGGGTTGCAGGCCACGGCCCCCAGCAACCACACATTGATGTTTCTCTCTCTCTCTTTCTCCCTCCCTTCCCTCTCTAAAAAATAAATAAATAAATCTTTAAAAAAAAAAGAAAGAAATAATGCTTTCAATATGCCACGTAAGTGATTCCCAACAAATATTTTTGATTCTCAGTGGTTTTTAAACAAGTTGTCTGATTGGTCCCAACCAAAATGACAAGAGGTTTCTCAGAGATCAATGAGTTCTTTTTTTTAAAAAAAATTAGGCCTCAACACTGACAAGGTGAACATTTGGAGAAGGACAAGCAAGGTGCTCTATTTAAATACAAATGGATCTGATGACAGTGTATCCGCTACTGAGCACCTGTGCATTTCATCAGAATCACTTTGTAATAAAAACGTTCATTGAGGGGGCCTGAATCGAAGTGAGGGTGGGGAAGGATGGGAATACTAACCTTTTCCCTTTCCTACAGCTCTTTTTCCATGCGAGTGATACTGGCAAGTGAAACCCGAAAAGAGTTTATCTAGCCAGGATGTGCATAGCTCCAAATTCCTTTCTTTAGACAAATCACACTGAATGCTGCAAAGTCAGATTAATATTGCACTCTCTACTATTTGTTCTTTAGTGACTGAAGATTCTGTATCTGCTTCTCCATGAATCAGGGGAAAGCAGAAAGGCTATGCACTGTGGGTCTGCTTGCAGGTCTGTTTTAAATGATAATCATTTTTCAATTCAATTAGGACCCTAAACCTTGACTGTAGACCTCAGAATGTGAGCATGCTTCCTGGTTTCAAGACCTTGCCGAAAATGCAATTACACTGGTGGAGACTTGGGAAGATTATTCTCCTCCTAGGAAAATAAGTCAGTCAAAGTGTCCTTAACAAGTGTGAATAGGACACAACTGAGAAATGTGCTGATAAGTCTTCCCTGACCTTATTTGTCAGATTATGTTCAGCTAGTCCATGTTTACAAAATAGAAACTAATACCAGGACAAAAGACATGATAACCAAGGACAGACGTGAGATCTTTGGCCATAAATAAAACTTAATTTTATTAGGAGAAGAGCATTACTTCATAGTTTACAGGAAATCTAAAGCAGTGAGGGAAACATTTATAGGATAAAAACATTCTGAGACTGGATATTCTGCCTCATTGGCAATGGGCTTTCTGAAAAAAATTTTTTTTAAGCATAAAGGTTCTCCTGGCTGGCGTAGCTCAGTGGATTGAGCGCAGGCTATGAACCAAAGTGTCGCAGGTTCGATTCCCAGTCAGGGCACATGCCTGGGTTGCAGGTTCGATTCCCAGTATAGGGCCCCAGCAACTGCACATTGATGTTTCTCTCTCTCTCTTTCTCCCTCCCTTCCTTCTCTAAAAATAAATAAATCTTCAAAAAAAGCATAAAGGTTCTAGAAGTAGACAAGATGAACTGATATTGTAATTAATTAGGCAAACTCAAAATCATAAAGTAAGGATTTAAAGAATAAACCAGTCCTCTCAATTAGGAATGAGGTACATTACCCTCTGTTCAGAAGGACACTCTCAAATAAAGCACATGTTTAACAACAAATTGGAATGATTGGTAGACAATGGAATTAGTAGCATTATAATCAGAATCATTTAGAAAATATTTAGAAAACATCCATGGTGTTTTTAATGATAAAATTTTAAATTGTGTTCTTATTGAGTATGTATATATGTTTTTAAAAAGATGTGTATTTTAATGAGAAAGTATTAGTAATGAATTGGTATTCAACACCTTTAAAAAAACATACAGAAATGCATGGCATATTTAGTTCAAACACCTTCAGCTTCGGGGGACATGTATACTTACCATCCACAAAGGCCTGCACGGCTTTGTCTACATTAAAATCAAACTGCTGTAGCACTAGGACTATTTCATTATTGCTCTTGTTGGGAACAACTGACCGAACTGCATAGATCTGTAAAAGAAAAGAAAGTGAGAAGTCAACACTTTAAGTATTTTCCACCCATGAATTTCTCACTGGATAAAATTATAACTGTTAGAAAGACTTTGAGAAAACAACTAATCTACCTTCTTGCTATCCGGCATGCTCCAGGCATTTCAGACCGGTAAAAATCCATCCCCCTTCATCCTCGTAATCGCCTTGATACCCACCTTCTTGTGTAAACATTTCTTACAAAGATCCCCTTGTGAGGGCTGTAACAGCAAGTGTGAAAAGCCAACTCGGGTTCAGCCATTTCCCCTCCCCTAAGACTCCAGATGCACACAAGACACGTTTTCAGTGAGCACACAGATGTTTTCTGTCTCAGGCTCTCTTCCCCACTGGCTCAGGGGGGCGTCTTTGGAAAACATGCAGAAATAGCCTCATGCTTCAGCTTCTCTTATCTGCACAGTGGAAACAGTCATCTCGAGGTTCACGCAAGTAGGCTGTGAAACTCCATTAATGTTTATAGAGATATAAAAATGTGGGGCATTGTATTTTTGAAATGGCAGTCTGAGCCATAGTACAGAAAATGTTCCCAAACACACTTCTGAAAACCAAACATTTAAAATATAGTCAGCACATACACGAGAGCTAAGAATTTCACTAGACTAGGCTGACATTCAATTTTTAATGACCTATATGTATTTATTAGTCAAATTTAGCATGTATTCTTTCATCTGGCTTAATAGAATGAATTGATCTTTATCTCACAGAACTTGCAATTGCTATAGGATGCTCATTCTACTTTAGTAAAAATATCAAGGGGATCAGTACAGCTGCTACCGACAAATACTAGAGTGCTGCATGGCGACAGGTAAGTGGCATCATAATAACGACCGTGAAAGCACCGCACAATCTTTACATGTTTGCGTCACTGGTGACTTATGACCATTGCTGAGTTTGAGAGATACCTGTAGTTTACGTAGTCAGATTCCTGGCATGTGGGTTATATGGGTATGATGTGTGTAATGTGACTCAATTGACTAGAACATTTAATAAAGCAGTAGAGCCTCTTCCTTAATTATGTTAGAAATGGGTAGCTTTCTCCATACAGAACTGTTATATATAAGAATTTTAGATTATAACTGTTACAGAACAGGGCCAACGGGGGGTACGATATACTATTACCAAAAGGACCAAAAGGACCAAAAGGACCCCCGCTAGGTTTGCTATGCCTGCCGCCAGAGGAAAGACATCTCTCAATGCCAGAGATTTGTGAAAAGGAAAGAAAATATTTATTTAAAGCTATACAGACTTAGAGTAGTGACTTAATGTCTTCATTAAAATATTGAAGTTCTTTAGGATACCCACAGATGCACACAGTCTTTCCTTCTCCCTCTGCCCTAGTCTGGGGTAACGTATCTCAGGAAAAGAAGTAGAAATCCGTGATTTAGGCTCCCAGCACCATCAGCTGTGTTGCTGTCACGATCTTCAGTTAATCCAAAGCCATGTGGCACCTTCTCATGGCCTACTGGCAAGAGTTCTTTGTACCCATCTCCCAGGAAAAGTCTCTCCTGCTTCCTAAACCACGTGCCAAAAAGGAGCACCCCAAAGCCACTTGGCCCTCACTCTCACCGAAGCTGCGGGGGTCCCCACCCTGGCCAAAGCTGCGTGGTTCTCCCTTGTATGGCTGCCGCGCCTGGGTTTAAATCCCCGCGCCAACCTTCCTCTGTATCCCATTTCCGACTCCTCCTACAATCAGTTACCCCTGGCAGCATTCCTGTATTCTTCCAGCTTTACTGGGCTGTCATTGTAAGTCTGGGCAGGTGTGGCCTCATGTCATGGAGCTAATCTTCTCCAAGTTCTCATACAGGCACTGTAACCAGGGGGAGCTGCCCTCCAGTTACATCTTGGGTGGAAGTCCCTTCCATCCCCCGGCTCAAAGCCGGGTTAAAGGTTATAGATATGTGAAATGACTATGCCAGAGGTTAGCTGCAAAGCTGTTGCTGTACAAAACAGCTCCGTATGTTCCTGCTCCGTGTGTCCCTTCCCCCAACCCACACCTTGCGGGGCGGGGGGGGGGTGAGGACATCCTATATATCTTTCTACTATTTCCCGGACACCTTGAGTGTCCCCATTCCAAATCCTTATTTGGGGCCCCCCTCTGGGCTACACCCTGTTACATAATGAGAAAACAGTACAAGCTGTGGGAATAAGACTTGTAAAGGTTCTGACAATATAGATCAGAAAGCTGGTTTTGAATCATAACACTTACACATGCTACTATGTGGGTTTTACTGAGTACTCTAACACAAAATATATATTTGTACATATGTGACTCAAGATTCTTCCAATTTTTCCTATTCTCACATTTTTATGGTTCTTAGTTTTTGTAACCTCCATATTAAAAAACAGTAACTTCTTCAACTCTAAGTTCTTTCTCACCTTTTCTCTTTAAAATTCCATTCAGTGAATGTTTTTTGAATGTGTACCGTATGACAAGGCACCAAACTTCCTAGCACCTTAGACTAGAGAGAAATGCACATGTTGACCAAATGATCACAGAAATATATACTTATACATTGTGATAAAAACTCTAAAATCATATGACAGGGAGACATGCCTTCATACAGGTATGCCGAGATCTGCAGTGAGAAGAGATGAATGGGAGGTAAGGGGAAAGGATTTTGGGCGGAGGGACCAGCATGAATGAGGAGCAAGACACAGATGAAGAGAGAGCGGCTGGAAGCATGGAGGGAGGCGGAGGGTGCAAGACGAGGTCGGAGATGAAGGCGTGCAGGGCCTCCAAGGCTGTGCGAAGGACTTAGGTCTTGTGAGCATCCCTCAGTGGTCCTTGCATTAAGTTGTTCTCTATTAGTCATTGATTGTGCTAAAAAGATAGCTTCCTCTCTCTCTCCACATATACAAACACCCCCACATGTAGATACAGATATACAGACATAGAAATTTATCTATATATCACTGTGTAAGTTAACGTGTTGACTTGATACACTTATATTTTGCAAAACAATTACCACCGCAGCATTAGCCAACATCTGCATCCAACAAATAATCACTATTTTTTGTGTGTGCGGTGAGAACATTTAAGATCTACCCTCAACAACTTTCAAGTACACGATACAGTATTATTAGCTACAATGACCATACTGTACATTAGACCCCCAGAACCTGTTAAATCCTATAACTGGAAGTTTGCACCCCTGGACCAGCATCGTCCCATTTATCTCTCTTTTTAAAAGAGATGGCCAAGATGGGAAGAAAAACACCTTCCCATCTTGTGTTCTTACAAAAATGCCTGCATCCAACCCAGGAAAATCATCAACAGTGTGCGTTTGACAATAAGTACGATGGCCTAGTGTTTCCAGTGCACTGCAGTTACGTATAAACATTACATGACGCCCTTCCAATGTAGTTCTTTTAAAGAAAATTCTAACACTCAACCAATTACTATCACTAGTACCACACCAGCCACGCCCTTCCAAGTAATATAATACTTAGTTATTGATTACATTAACATGGGTTTGAACTGGGCAGGGTCACTTACACTTAGATTTTTCTACATAAATAATGTAAATGTATTTTTTCTTCCATTTGATTTTCTCAACATTTTCTTTTCTCTAGCTTACTGTATTGTAAGATTACAGAACATAATACATGTAACATATATAAATGTGTTAACTGTTTACGTGATTGGTTTCTGGTCAATAGTAGGCTGTTAGTAGTTAAGTTTTGGGGAGTCAAAAGTTACACTTGAGTTTTTGACTGTGCGTGGTCGGGGGCATGCCCATAAATCCCTGCGTTATTCATGGATCAACTGTAGTTACATTAGACAAGAGTTTTCAATCCACATACACTGTTGTGTGATCAGTAATGACCCACACTTATACACAAACTGTTCTTTTTCCAGTCTCTCCTTGGCAAAACGTAATATATTGTACCACGTTAAGAAAAAATGGTAAAAACTATGGCTTACAGAGACATTTCCTTTTTAGATGTTTATACTGCTCTTGCTTATCCCTCTTAAAAAATACAGCCTTGGTCAGATATGGTAAGCATCCATCCTTGTCATTTTTAGATATCCCAGCTCTGAACATACCCTTAGAAAACTTAGTAACTGAATTCTGACTTCAAATCTAACTATGAATATTGCATACAATTCCCAAAGGAAGAGAGTTAACTAAGACAGGAATATCAAGTTTTTAAAAAAATGAGAGAAAAGGGGAAAAATAGTTTCTGCTTATTTTAGATGTTCCACAGTAATGTTGAATTTTAGCAAATTTCCGGACCAAGCTCTGTTTCTGCTTTAATCACTGAATTTAGCCGATGTGAAGGGAATAATGTTGTTTCTCCACCTTTTGTTCATATTCACTGCATTTATTTCCCCATGAAGATGTCTTTGAGAAAGATGGTGAAATCCTCATATATGCGCATAAAAATACAGGAACCCCACAATGTCACTATTCAGGAACCTGCCCCAGTGGTAAAGGGTCTAAACATTTAAATCTAAGTAAGATCTCATTATGAAGTAGCTTTAAACATAAGGAGGGGGTAACAAAGGCAGTGTTATAGTGGGGCTGTACTGAAAGGCTGCCTTTGCATTTGGAAATGAAGCTCCTGGAGGAATGGATCAATCAACGCGTGACTAATGGGAGTTTGCCTACGGGGAAGTCATAAAATTCACGCCTGCCGACTGTTTTGCAGAGGTTGTTTTTGGCGTGGCTTCAGATACACAGCCCTCACTTCGCTGCCACAGCCCAAGCTGATCTGATGTGCCTGCTGCTGCAGCTTCACACGGAAGCCCACTGTTTGAAGCTGCGCTTGACTGCATCCCTCAAGGGTTCACAGCCCGTAAACAGAGGGGTCTGGGAGGATCAACCACACAGCAGTGCAGGCTGTTGGGTGACAATCTGGACCCCTGTGCACAGTTCATTTACCTTTCCCAAGTCACATTCCCCTGCTTTGCTTCTAAATTAAATCTGGTTTGGCAAATCAATCTGTTTTTGAGAAATCTG